CTCGCTGCCCAGGCGGGTCTCGAACCCGCGGGCTCAGGCCGTCCACTCACCTCAGCCTCCCAAAGGTGCGGGATTATAGGCTGAGCCCCCGAGCCTGGCTGAAGGGAGTCTTTTATGAGATGTGCACAAACTCTGAGCTGAGGAGAGCACAAGCCTGTGAAAGTGACAGCTACCCAACAGAGGGACACAAGCCCATCCCTCCCTCCCACCTAACTCATGGGAAAGGCAGACCCAGGGAGATGAACAGGCTTTCCCGAGGCTTACCGCCAGTTAGTGGTAGAGCTGGGCAAATCGACGTGGCTCTCTGCCTCCTAGCCAGAACTTCCCCTTCCCCCTGACTGTTTTACTTTCGTTTCTTATTTCTCCTTTCAGGTATTTGCTTGAAATGTAAACCACAGTGTATGTTTGGTTCACTAAACACGAGCTAGGGTCTAATTCCTTTTGCCATTTGCACGGCCTTTTGAGATCTTCATGTCATTTTTCTAGTTGGAAAAAAACACCTTCTTTATATCAGGATATTCGGCAAAATATCACAAAAGATCACAAATGACTTGCTTTATCAGAGCCTCGATTTCTTCCTCAGAGCCTTGATGTGACTTCTGAGTTTCTTCCCAGCTCGGACAATCCATCAGTTCAGGAGATAAAAATGTTTCCACCCTAGGGTGCACCTGGGAGAAGGTTGAGCTTCTCCCCTCTGCTGCAGTTTGAGAATAATTCCCTTCTAGGCAGTAGGTACTATGGGTAGATATCCCAGGGTTTGGGACCATGGCTGGTGGCACAGGGGAAATTGAGTAGCTGTTGAATCCCTGCTGGTATAAATGCCAGAACAGGAAAGGCCAACACACCTAAGCATTAGTTCACTGGCTGGCGATACGACTGGGCTTCTACGGAGAAAAAGCAGAACATGGGGATTTCAGGCACTGTGATGGCACGTGAAGGAATCTGAAGGGGTGGGATGAGGCTGGGAATCACAGGTCGTGTGTCCATGGAAATAGGAGATAAGGCAGAGCACGTGGCCCAGATGCAGGTGGGTGGGTATTGGAGAGATGGCCTGGGAATGGTCATAGTGAATGGAGTTAGAAAATCTACGGGTTGAGCATCTCCTATCCAAAATGCTTGGGACCAGAAGTGTCTGAGATTTCACATTTTTTTTCAGATTTTGGAGTATTTATATATCCATAATGAAATTCCTTGAGACTGGGGCCTACGTCTAAACACAGAATTCGTTTATGTTTTATATGCACCTTATACTCATAGTCTTAAAGTAATTTTATACAACATTCTTAATAATTATATGGGGAAAACAGAGTTAGTGTACCTTGAACTATCAGAAAGCAAAGGTGTGATGATCTCAGTCACCCATGTGGACAGCCTGTGGTTTTTTGGCCCCACCATCATTCCTGACTCGGAATTTATGTGCTACTTATGAGCAGTTATTTTCTTACACTTATTCACATGCGAGTATTGAAGAGTAAAAAATATGGCACACCATTAATCCCATACAAAATATCGTGTGTTCAGGGTAACTAAGCATCACAGCATCACCAGAACATCTTGAATCAGCTGCCAAACAACAAAAAATGGCAGGCTTTCCATCTCTACCTACAATGCTGGGTTTTGATCAAAAGGTTACTATATATTGTATATATATATATATATATAGGGGTGAGAAGAAACATCAGAAGTAGTTGAGGGACCAAGAAATGGGGCCTCTAGGGATGAGGAGATATTCTGCTGGATGGCTTTTGCAAGTGACTGGAAGGGTCTTTATCCCATGGGGATGCTAAATAAACTGTGTGTTGTATGCTTACGTTTTAACTATGACGGGTCACATGTGGTCAGATGTGGAATTTTCTATCTGTGGCATCATGTTGGTGCTCCAAAAGTTTTGGA